GAAATATTTTTGTAAAATTTTTGATATTATAATTAATAAGTGCCCCCTCTAAGTTAATTTTCTAGCTCCGCCACTGATTACAGTACTAACAGATGATGCGGCATAATTTTAGAGATTTTGAGTATTTGTAATTTGTATGATAGGTAAATCATAATTTTGAAATAATAATGTCATAACATATATTAATACACTAATTGATATACTGATTGATGCATATAGTATTATTGTGAAGCAACAATGCTATATGCACATAAACTCTTACATGAAGATGGGACTCACATACCCATGTAGAACTCATCCTTATGTGGGGAGGATACCGGCTTGTTGGCCCCGCCTAGTCCGCCCAACCCAACCCAACCCAACCCAACCCAACCCAACCCTAGTTTTTCAGGATTTGAAAAAGTTGTTTTAGCTCATAGGGCCAGGCTGGGCTCACATTTTCACCCCAAAATATCAATGGGCGGGGCTTGGGATTTATACTTTCAACTTATAGAATATATATATTTTTTTGGGATTTACATTTTATCTTTGTTGATTTTTTTAAAACTCACATTTGTGGTGATGTAGGATTGAGTTTATGTAAGAAATCTTTCAATTTATACCCAAAATCTTTTAATTTATAATGATTTCAATATATTTATTTAAGAAATATAATGTATGATTGAATTTAATTATGAAATATTTTAATTTTTTTAAACATATAACTTGATGGGTGAGCTTATAATATATAATTATTTTTTGGACTGAGCTTGAGCAGATATAGAGGCTCAATGTTAGGGCCGAGTTTGGCTTGGGCAAACATAGTCCCTTATTGGGCCCATTTGGTAGAGCTTAATTTTAGCTTAACTCAGCTTTTAGATTATTTTAAGTTGTTTTGGTGTATTTGGTAGAGCTTAAAATCACTTTTTGTAGCTTAAATTAAGCCAAAAAAGTGATTTTTTGCTGAGTGGCCTTTGGGGTACTTTTCCAAAATAGCTTAAGCGGGAAGCTAAAATTAGAGGGCAAAATTACTTAAATGTCCCTCGTCAATCTCAACTATTACAAAAAAAACCCAACTATATAAATCCCATATTCTCAATCGCTGAGAGAGAGAGAAGTGGCGATTATCGGCGGAGCGATTTCCGGCGAGAGTGAAAAAGAGTTCTCTCTCTTCACTATCTCTTCTCTCTCTTCGTTGTGGTTCGCAAGGCTGAGTCGAAGCAGAGATAGGGCTTGGTTTGAGGAAATGGGATGTCTTCGTCGAAGAAGATCACACTGAAGAGCTCCGACGGAGAGGCGTTCAAAGTGGAGGAGTCGGTGGCGCTAGAATCGCAGACGATCAAGCACATGATCGAGGATAATTGCGCCCATAGCGTCAGCCCTCTCCCTAACGTCACCAGCAAGATCCTCACTAAGGTCATTGAGTAATGCAAAAAGCACGTCCAGATCTCTAAGACCCAAGATCGATCCGTCGAGGACGACAACAAGACCTGGGACTTATCTCCGATGCTCCAACACCGGCACTCCATTATTATTATTCATTTTAATTGATGCTAATAATTAAAATGAATATATGTAATGAACAAAAATAATTAAAATGAATAATAATAAAAAATAATAAAATAATAATAATAATAATAATTGATGAACAAATTGATATTAATTTTAGGGGATTTTTTTTAAGGTCCCTGATATTAAGATTTTATAGCATAAAGGACACTCAATATTTTCATAATGTCTCAGATCCCTCAACATCAATCCAGAGAAAATTCGGTCCAGAGAATTTCTCTGGACTTCCCAGAGAAATTCTCTCCAGACATCCAGAGAATTTCTCTCTATCCAGAGAAAATTCAGATAGTCCAGAGAAAATTTAGACATCTAGAGAAAATTCAGATGGTTCAGAGAAAATTCACACAATCCAAGAAACTCTGTATCATCGTGCATTTTATATTTTCTCTTACAAATATCTTTTCATGAAGGGTTGCTATCAAAATTCTGTTTGCTAATCCTAGTGCTCTTTGTAGATCAAGCACAACAAGATGAAGTGGTTGACAGTAAGATCTTGCCACACCTTAGCATAGACAAGAAAGAGAAGAAGTCATTCCCTAGACTTCCAGAGAAAATTGGTCCGAGAATTTCTCTAAACTTTCCAATTTCTCTAACATTCCCTAGAATTCCCACTGCAAATTTCTCTGGCCTTCCATTCTCTCCAGAGAAATTGTAATGTGCTTCCTCTTGTTTGAATATGCTATATTGTTAATATTGATTCAGAATTTCTACAATTGTTTGGGAAATTCCTATCATTTTCTTTGAATGAATTCAATAAATTTTTGTTGTACTTATCTGCATATTTTCCAGGGTATATCTATCCTTACCTAATTCTAATGGAGAGTGGGAAGTATACGGAAGGCCAAAGAAAAATTTCTACAATTGTAATGTGCTTCCTCTTGTTTGAATATGCTATATTGTTGATATTGATTTAGAATTTCTACAGTTGTTTGGGAAATTCCCATCATTTTCTTTGAATGAATTCAATAAATTTTTGTTGTACTTATCTACATATTTTCCAGGGTATATCTATCCTTACCTAATTCTAATGGAGAGTGGGAAGTATACAGAAGGCCAGAGAAAAAAATTTCTCTAGAGAGAAGGGAAGACCAGAGAAATTTGCAGTGGAAAGTCTAGGGAAGGTCAAAGAAATTTAAAAATTTCTCTGAAAAGTCCAGAGAAATTCTGCACTAATTTTCTCTGTGAAGTCGAATTTAGCAAAATCAACAATTATTACCAGCTCTACAACCTGAATTCTGTAGAATCAAATATCAATTATTGAATATAAGTAGTCTCGATAAGATGAGTGGGAGAAACTTACTAGTTATGAGATCAAAAAAAGAGGTTCTCCCAAAATCCAAACCAAGTTGGAGGAGATTTCTATTTGCTTGTTTCAGGCCTGACAAAATGTTCCATTCCGTACATGAGTTTGTCATTGACAATGGATAAATTCCGAAATTCTACTGAAATGATAACAGTAAATCATTTTTTTACAAGAAATCAGTTGACTCATATATATGCACATTATCACAATTCACAAACACAATAAAATTAGTGGGATTCTACTGGAGAGAAGGGTACACATCATCAATTTCCTTCTTCCCAAGTCCGACCTCTCTCTCTCTCTCTCTCTATATATATATATATATATTTATACAATCAAAAAATATTTGCCATATTTATGATTTTAACTTTCGAAGCACTCAACAGAACTTTCAACTCCCAATCGTCGAGCTTCCAACACAACCTCTACAACGCAGCGTCGATCGGATTGTTCTGAAAAGTTGTCAAGATGTTCCGATTCACCTCTTCGGAAGAAGCAATGATAGATGAAATAGGACGACTGGCTCTGTGAGTGGCTAAGCTGACTTGATGTTCTGCCGGAGATACCGACGGGACGCCGCAAAGATCGCCGTTCACGATGGTGATTCTGGCTACCTTCGCTGCTGCTCTCATGGCTCCGCCCCTTTCCATGGTTGCGATTGATCGAAACCTAGAACAAAAAAATATCTGTAACGATTTTATAATATTTCATAGAGTCAATTTTCTCTGTGATATATAAGTATGAGAGTTGAAAGACCTTAGACATTATAAAATAATATTGTGGATCTCTTCCATTACTAAAAATGGGAGAGGGAACTTAGACTAATTTTCTCCTAATTTTAATAATTGATGAACAAATTAATAATAATAATAATAATAATAATTGATACTAATTTTAATAATTGATGCGCAATTGATAATTTTTATACTAAAATCACAATTAATATATAAATAATTAAAATGAATATATAAAAAATAATATGTAATGAAATCACAACATTAATATAAATTAGAACATGAATATTAATTTTAATGAATTAATAAATTAAACAAAATTAACAAAGAAATAAGAGAAAAAAAAAGAAAAAAAAAAGAAAATAAGAAAATAAGGAGAAAAAGAAAAGGAAATAAAATAAAATGAAAAAATAAAAAATAAAAAAATGTATTATAAATGAAATCACAAATTTTATATCTTATAAGGGCAAAAATGACAATTATACAGCAAAAAATTATTTTACAGCTTATTTACCAAACATTACTCTGCTCCTTAAATCCATAATCTCACAGCTGCACCAAACAGGTTACCAGTTTATGTTTACCGCTGTAAGTTATAAATCTGTTAAGTTATAATTTATAATCACTTTCCTACAGTTCTTCCAAACGGGGCCATTATGTAGCGTTGGTCTAACTTGAGCCCAACCCAACCTAGCCCAGCCTAGCCTAGACCGACATCCTCACGGGCTCCCGTTAAAATTCGGGCCAGGATGGCCCACGGGACAAAAAAAATTAAACTCAGGCCCGGGGGTATTCGGGCCTTGGGCAAGCCTAACCTTTTTTTTTTTTTTTAATTTTTTTTTCTACCAACATTTTAATATTTTTCATTAAAAAATACACTGGGTCTTGTACGGGCCGGGCTCTAAGTGGGCCTTAAGCGGGCCGATGGGCCGGGCTTCAAAACAATGGTCTAGGCCCTGGCCCTAACCCTAATCCTAGCCCTAGCCCAAGGGCTCAGGCTGGGTTCGGATCTGGACCCAAGCAGGCCTAAACGGGCCGGATCCACCTCAAGCTGCGAGCGAATTTCGGACCGCCCACGAACCACGGATCATTTTCACACCTCTACCTTTATGTGAGAGTTTTTATACATTCTATGCATATATTTTATGGTAAAAATTTTGGTAAAACTCTTAGTCCCTAGTATTGCTCAACAAATGTTATTTCTCTTTTGGAAGTGAAAAATCAACTTTAATCCTCTTTTGAAGAAGTCAAAGTCAACCCCGTCGACAAAATGCATACATATACACGCTTTCTCTAGAAGGTTGCATGGCCGACTTTATCTATCTTCAAACCACTACACACCAACCTAGCGCTCCCATTGATCAGTTCATATCATACTATAAATTCATCTTTCACACCCACACTTTCACATCAAACCCTTGCTTCTCTTCTCTATCATTCTACAACTTCTTCAAAAATGGCATCCATAACAAATCACCTGCTTACATTCATTCTTGCTGGAATCCTCGCCGGAGCTCTGCCGGGGCCTATATCGGCACAGAACTGTGGTTGTGCATCAGATATGTGTTGCAGCCAATATGGGTATTGTGGCACTACCGATGCATATTGTGGGTCAGGCTGCCAAGAGGGTCCTTGTTTTGCGACACCGAGTCCTAGCAATGTCTCGGTGTCAGACATTGTCACGCAGGCTTTCTTCGATGGGATAATTGGTGAAGCCGATGCAAGTTGTGCCGGAAAGAGTTTCTACACTCGATCTTTGTTCCTTGAGGCACTTAATTTGTACCCTCTTTTTGGAAGGGATGGTTCGGTTGATGATTCTAAGCGCGAAATCGCTGCTTTCTTTGCGCATGTCACGCATGAGACTGGACGTAAGATTTTAACCTCCCTCTTGTTGTTTTGCATGCATAATTTCATAAGTTGATTAGTAAATTTATTTGCATAAAATTTAGGCCTATTTTGACAATTGGATTAAATGTCAACATTTTTACTATTTTAAATCACATCATCTCTAATTTTTTTGCACTTTTTTTTTAAAAAAAAAAATTTAATAAAAAAGTCAAAAACTGATTTTTAATCTACTTTCCAAAACAAATCTCATGGAATGAAACACAGGAATGAGAGAAGAGGGTAGGTGTCACATGCTACATGTGCGTCCTATCCTTGTATCAATTGTATGTGAATAGATTCTGTGCAAGTAGCTAACATAGTTGTAAGGCCCCATTTAAAGGCCCCATTTTAGTAGACAAATATAAAAATTGTTTAGTACAATCCAAACCGTGGCAACAAAATTAAAGGCCCCATTTTAGTACAATATTTCAATTAAGATAATTTTCAATTAATGATCTAACGGCAAAAACGCTACACTATATAATAGACTAGACGATTTGAAAAGTAAAAAAAATATTTTAAAAAAAAGGTCCATTAAAAGAAAAACAAAAAAAGTTGATTTTTTTTTAATGAACTTTCTTTTGGATTTGTTTTTAAAAACTTCTAAGATCCTTGTAGACTACTAGATAGACCTTAAAAAAAAGATCTAATACAAATTTAAATAAATTTCACTACAAACAAAAAATTCAAAAAAAAAAAGATATGACTTTTTTAGACGTGGCCAAACATAAGTGCAAGGACCATTGCATACATATATAGTTGATAAATTTTGTGTGCGGTTGTGCAGATTTTTGCTACATAGAAGAGATAGATGGTGCCTCAAAGGACTACTGTGATGAGAATAATACACAGTATCCCTGTGTAGCTGGGAAGGGTTACTATGGAAGAGGCCCACTTCAACTATCATGGAACTACAATTATGGTCCTGCCGGAAAGAGCATTGGCTTTGATGGACTCAACAATCCAGAAATTGTTGCGACAGATGCAGCTGTGTCGTTCAAGACCGCCTTGTGGTATTGGATGAACAAAGTTCACTCTATCATAGTTTCTGGCCAAGGCTTTGGTGAAACAATCCGAGCCATCAACGGTGCACTTGAATGCGATGGTGGAAACACAAATACAGTCAATGCTCGTGTTGAGTACTACCAAGAATACTGCAACCAACTTGGTGTTGCGCCTGGCGATAATCTTTATTGTTAAAAAGTTATTATTTATTTTTTTTGTTATAAATTTATGGGTACATGTTTTTAAAAGTAATAAAGAGTAGGAACCATCCAAGTTAGGGCTTTATTCAAGCATTAACTTATTTGGCATGTAATAGTACAACTAACACAATATTGAAGGGCTTTTGAGAACTTATTTTGATACTTGATCAAGGACGAAATAATTGGTATCAACTCATATGTATTCTTTCATCAAAGGCTATATATGTCTGCTCTTTTTTTTTTTTTTTCCTTATTAAATTGAATAATACTTTGATGTTGTTCGATGGGGAAGAAATTTGTTTCTCTATTTACTTCATAAAATTTCATTACAAAAATAGCATGCTTTTTATAGGCAATACAATACAGTGTGAACACAAGTTTATATTGCAGTAGCAACCTAAGGTATTTATGGCCTGTTTGATTGGTCGGAGTAATAATGATAGGATTAATAATCTATTGGATTGATTGTTGAACTTAATTAGTAGAGTGGGATTATTAATACTTACCTCTATATGGTATTGAATATTCCACGATTTTGGTCTTGTTTGGAAGTTGGCTATTTTAGTAGGTTATTTTAGTTTTTAGCTATTTTAGTAAACTAAAATTTTTGTATTTGGGAAGATGATTATATTTTTTTGTAGTTGGATGTGATGTTTATGAGTGAAAAAGTGAAATGATTATGGATTTGATGTGACATTTTATCTTATTGGCTAAGTTCAGTTGTAGCCTTTGCCAAACTATGAGATTAGAAGTTCTACGTATTACTAAGTCGACCATTATTTATGCCATCCAAACACAAAAATGCACATATAACTAATTTAACAATCTATCCTATGCTCCAATACTGAAATAAAATAGGCCCTTAGTGCGTGCGGATTTTCTATTTTGATGGTTGCAATGCGGCGACAAGAAGTTGATTGGCAAGAGACAATTGACATAAGATGAGTAAGATTTGAAGGTATATAGAGGTATAACAAAAGAGACAATTGATTTAGACATTTGTTGTAACACCAGCGAGTGTGTTTTGAGGCTTCTGCCATGATGCAGGGCAAGAGACAAGGTAAGGGTGTAGAAGACGATAGTAGGAGAAGGCCGTTAAGAAAGATTGAAGTAATATTCAGAGTCCAAAACTTAATTTTTTTTATGAAATAAATGAAGTGTATGGAATAATTTTTTAAGTTGAACAGATGGATACAAAAAAAAAAAAAAAAAAAAAAAAAAAAAAAAAAAAAAAAAAAAGATTGATATGTAAGATATGACATTTTGACTATTTTAATTTTTTGATTTTTTTTTTGATCTTTCCAAACGGGACATCAATTTCATTTCTTACTTAACAAGAATAAATAAATATTTGTGAGCCTCCCTTAAGTTGTGTTTGGATTGTTAATCGGAGTAGGATTTGGAAAAGAAAATTTATAATCTAACACGATATTAATAGTATTCATCTAGTGTTAAGATCAAACTCTTCTTTTAATTATGAAAAAATATGAGTTCTGTTCTAGTAGAGTCCATAGAATGGAGTTCCTTGCTTGTAACTCCAAAACAGAAAATTTCCTCCAGATGTCGGAGTGTTGATCCTCTGATTTATTCAAGTAGTTAACACCATGAAGAGTAGCCATCAACATGAATATTGAAAATGGTGAAAAATCTAAAAATTCTTGAGATATTGATTCGTGATTATATTTTAATTTAAAATAATAAATAACAATCATAATCAACAAATAAGACTAATCGGCACAACTATTTAACGTGGAAAAAACTACAATATTTGGAACGTTTCCAATTGTAATAAAAAATTACGGGCCAAAGTCACAAATAATTCACTAAGAAAACAAAAAAGAATTACATTACTCTCAACTACCTAACGAGTTTATACCCAAATTGAACCAAACTTGATGTGCCTCTTCTACCACTGCCTTCACATTGGAATTGTCTTGCCCAACATTGAATTCACAAAGTTGATGTCGAATTTACGACGATGAACCACTCCAGAATCCACCAAAATTTCAGGTTCAAATTCTTTGGAATCTACTGAAGAACACCTCTCTCTTTTGTGAATGAAATAATAAGAACAACCTTTGATTTTAGACAATCTGTAGTTTGTTGATCAATTGATCACCTTCTATATACCAAGAAACACTACAACAAAACTGAGCTTCTGGACGGCTTAAACCCTAAACTCATATAAAACAGCCTCCAATAGAAAACACTTTGTCTTTTCTTTCTCTTTACGATTCTGGACGGCTTAAATCCTAAAACAGCGAATAACGCACTTTATAGAAAACAGAGCCACGAAGACCGCTCGAGCACACACTTCACTGCTCGAGCAGTGTGAGTAAAGGCGGTGTGAAACATATAGACCGATCGCTCGAGCACAACTTTCACAAGCGGTAAAACTTTCTTCCCAGGAGTTAAGCGCTCTGTAAAAGTATTGGATGATCATTTTTTCCATTCGAGCGCACAAATAACTGCTCGAACGATCAAACAACTTTGACCACACTTTTGCTTTTTGTTTCTTGCTTCGGGGCAACCTCACCGTGGCGCTACCTTGGACCAGACAAGGAGCGCTGTCTCCTGGATCCCCGCGAACTGATCATGCAGTTCGATCCCCATACATAGTCAGTGAAGTGGCAAACATAAAAGGATCAAGATTACAAACTTCTCTACATAAGTACAATTCGGGTTAGATTCACACATAAACGCTCCTAGTTTCACTGAAATAAAAAGACAAATAAAATTACAATTAAAAAAAAAATTATCAAATAAATTACCAATTATAAAAACCTAACAAATGGCTCTGCACATTCCTCTTCCTTTGGTACCGTAATCATATTGTGGTGAGAAATCATCAGTCCCCACTTTATTGATAAGTGGAGGAAAAATTACTTATAAGTGGAGAAGGGGAAAGTTCGGAGAATAATTGAAATAGGCCTGTAGTTGAGTGTGGAAAAAAAATTGTAAACTGATGAATTTTAAATTTTTGAGTACAAGTTTACTCTGTGCATAATTTTTAAAAATTATATTAGTGACTGTATTTTTTAATCAAACAAAGTGATTATTTTTTTTATTTACTTTAATTTATCATTTTAATTTTTTTATTAAATATATTTAATATTAGTCCCATTTTAAAAAGTATGGTTCATATCTTTCCAATGGTATCATTTTTTCAAAAATCGAAAATTTTAAATATATTTAATTTTTTTATATCTATTTGAATTATTAATTTATTTTTTTAATTGATTGTACTATTATTAATCTAACTTTAAAGATATTATTAATACATTTTGAACCGTTTTAATATTACAAAAATCAAATTATATATCAAATGTTATATACATTTTAATAAAAGAAAATAAAAGGCATAAATTTTAAATTTATTGTTTTAGGGAGAGGTGTGCAGTGTGTTAGTAATGTGAAGTGTGACGTGGAATAATGATTCAATTTTTAGTTTAGTTCCTCTAATTTCACTCTTGATGATGTGGAAATAGAGAGGTTAAAAATGAGAGGGAGATGAGTGTAGGGTCACTTTACATGGAGGTGAACCACATTATTAAAAATAAAATTTGAGAAACAAAATTAAGAAATGTAGCACCACTTGTGTAATGTGTGTCATGTAAGTGAGAGTAAGTGATAAAATTGGATAAGTTTATCCTTTAATCAAGAAATGTGATCTCTTTCCAAATGTTTTTTCACATTCCACTGGGGCAACTCCAAATTTTCTTCCACTGATATATAAGAACTTTTTCCTTCCTCCAATAACTAGTGATTCCAGCAATTATCTATTAGGTCTCTAGAATTGTTTTAAGTTTGAAATACCATTTATTTGGTTTTGTTCTTATCTTAGTGATATTTTATAATTTATGGGTTGGATTTTCTTTAGTTGGGATATTTAATAAGACGGTCTAGTCATAGAGATAGAAAAAGAAGAAATAGAATTTTTAGGATTAATCTTTATATCAATAGGATCAAAATTACAAGAACATATTATTTCAAAAGTAAAAGAATTTCTAGATGAATTAACTGAAGTAAAACAATTTCAAAGTTTTTTAAGAATTTTTAATTATGGGAGAAATTATGCCAAAAATATAACAAAATTAAAACTTCCCTTATTTGCAAAATTAAAGAAAGATGTACAATTTTGCTGGTCAAAAGAGGATACCAATTTAATTAAACAAATTAAAGAAAGTATTACAGTCATGCCTATAGTTTATTTACCTAATAAAGGAGATAAACTTATGCTTGAACGGATGTCTCAGATTTATGTTGGGGATGTGTATTAAAAGCAAAACCTTCTCAATTTTGGACAGAGTCTGAAGAAACAAATAGTTATGGAATTAAAAGTAGGAAAAAAAACTTATTTCCATAAAAACTCAGAATTATGAATTAATTTGTGGATAAAATTTTGGCAAATTTAAATCTATTGAAACAAGATATATTATTTTTGGAAAAGAACTTTTAGCAATAAAAATTGATTAATAGACAATCAAGCGATAAAATATTTTTTTAGTTAACAAGAAAAATATTGTAGAAGGCCGCTGACTTCAATGGTATAATGAAATTGCTACATACACTTCTGCAGTTGAACATTTAAAAGGAACTAATAATTTTCTTGCAAATTTTTTAAGCAAAAATAACTAACTAGTTTTTTCTCTTTTCAACCATGAATAAGGGTAAATGGCCCGCTGAGTCCGACAAAGAATTGGTGACAATTGCCAAAAAAAAAACCCCTAAAACAAAAAAAGTTTGTGTTGTTTTTTCAGGTAGACAATATGGAATTTACACAAATTGAAAATATTGCAATGTGCAAGTTGTGGGGTTCCCTAGAATTTGCTATCAAGCATATGATAGTTTGGCAAAAGCTAAAAAGTCTTTCTATATAGCTCCATTGATGCCTATTTTTCAGCAGCAGCAAACCAATCCAATCCCTATTGAATTTCAAAAGTCTAAACCAGATGAATATGAAATTAAAGACTTTTTTAATCCTGGCATTCCTAGAAAAAATTATATTGTCTTACATGGCGTGTGGAAAGCCCACATTTTCGAAAACAAAAAAGGTTTTAGATTACAAACGTCTAATTTATCATTTCAATAGTGGAACAAACCATTAAAATAAATGAGTTACAAAAACTTTGTTTCCAACTCATTAAACAAATGACTTGAGATCAAGATTTTAAATTTGAAAAAAATAAATACTTTTCTTCAAATTTCTGAATTCCATTTCAATTAGTGGAACAAACCATTAAAATAAATGAGTTACAAAAACTTTGTATCCAACTCATTAAACAAATGACTTCAGATCAAGATTTTAAATTTGAAAAAAATAATTACTTTTCTTCAAATTTCTGAATTCATAAACCATGA